ATCGTCTCTTTTCAGGCACCCGTCCTTCCAGACCTGGGAATCGCTCTTGTTATAGCATTCCTCTCAATTACCCTTCCTTAGGCCATTATAGCTCCTGGTGGCATTGTTTGCTTCTGGATTCACTTTTTGTACTTCATTTTCATTATTTTCTCCTCCGACGTTTGGATCAACATACTCCTCATCCTCACAATGTATGTCGTCTTCGACTCTCATTTCTTATCCGGCATTAGCTATCTATTCTTACTAAGTTCCCACAGACGGCGCCAAATAAATTGTGGGTGTTGATTTCCGAACTCATAACCAAATAGATCTCTCTGCATAGATCTAAAGAACTTAGCTGAAGAACACGCGACAAAATAGATTAAGCCAAACACCTGCACACAAGAAGATAAGAAATACCATAGTTGCTTGTCCACCCAAAGTCACTCTAACGATCAAGTCAGTAAAATATCTCTCAAAGATATCAACTCAAACAACAGTGCATAAGTAAAAGCATACCTTAGACTTATGAGGGTGCCTTACTTTTATATTAATCAACACTCTCGTCTCCTAGAAGTCTTACTTCATAGAACTTATGCACAACACTTATTCTAAACTCTCAGTTAGATAAGAATGATCCCACTTAAAGCCTCATCTTTTTCAGAACTGAGCGCCTCAACTTATCTAAGACTCATGCCCTCTATCCGAATATTTTAGATTTCGATATTACTTCACCATATCTTGGCAATATCACGACAATCTCAACATCATGACTTGTGCACATGGCACTTTGGCCAACACCTCGGCCACGTGATATGACCTTAAAAATGTCTCCACAGATACAAAATGTGTGGGATTTTAATTAGAGTGGGAATATTAGTGGGGGTTGTAGAATTAATATTTTTGCCCTTGCAAGTATAGCATGTGCAATGCCCAAGCCACTTTTCCATCAACAAATGCAACGACAATTAGCATTTGGACCACGTAAGCTACAACCAAAGTTCTAGTACAAAATTGATGCAATTGAAAATGAAGAGACCAAATTGCCGCAACGAACAACCACAAGAACCACCTCTGTAATTTATCCAAGAGTTTTTTTTTTTTTTTAACCAAACTGATTGTTTTTGTAATTTACCATTGAATGGTATTTTCACTAAATTTGGATACTATGTTTATTTCATTGGAATGTTTGGTTCATTCTATCAAAGATGTCTACTCTAACATTTGATTCAGTAAAAAAAAAAAATTTATTAAAAAAAATGCATTATCAAAATGAAAAACCCAAACACTACCTAAGAGTTTTCACAAGCATACCAATGCCAGTAAAAGAGGCTCACAAGTTGGCAAATAGCAAGGCTAGGCTTTTTAGTGAAGCAATACTACAGAATCTGTTTTTTACATCAATTAACAAATTTAAAAAAGTAATAAGACCTCAATACAGAAGAAAAGCCTAAGCTGTTGTATCACCTTTAGAAATGGAAGAAGAAGCTTTAAAATAGATTAATAAATACATTCCCAAATCCAGCTGCGACATATATTTATAAAATACAAATGACAGCAATTCCACAAATGGATAACATTGAGTCAATATTTCATCAGCCTTCCTCTCCAAACTCTCTTGTGAATCTCTCATGCACGTCAAGGTCGCCTTTGCTCACAGTTGGCCTCTGTCGGGCAAGGACCTTATCAAAATCTGTTTTTGAGATGGGTGGCGGAGTGATCTGCACAGCCATTCATCAATAGAAATTAACAGTTTGGTGGGGGGGGGAGGAGAACCATCAATAGGAAGAAGATAGAGAAGCTATTTACTTGTTTTTTGTTAAATTGATTTGAGACATGAAAAGAATATAAATGGGTATTTGCAAATAAAAAAATATCCTTTTTTTTGTGGTGGTTTAATTACCCAAAATAAAAATGACTAAAATAAGTAATTTATTTTCCATGTTCTTTTCCTTTCCCACTGTAAATCAAGATCTGAACATAGTGTTAGTCTACTTGTTACCATGCACTTTCCAATGTCATTTCAAGTTGTTCGTATATAATCTAATAGAGTAAATAAATTCGATTTCATAAGATCTCAATGCCCCAACAAAACAATTCAAAAAGAAAGCAAACCATCAGCAATACCTCTGAAGCAAGTCCTTTTGCAGCAAGGTCCTGCATAGTTGTCTGGATTGCACCAGGTCGCTTTGGTCCACACGGCATCCACTTACCATCTTCAGTCTTTATGAAATACATGGCATCTTGGGTTTTACGTACAGGTTCAAAGAGGACATCCTTAACCTAATAAAGCAAAAAACAAAAATAAAACACTAAAGCTAAAGCTAATCTAAAATCTTCCTTCATATAAAAGATATGCTAAATAAAACAACGCCCAATTAGTACACATTAATGTGTGTTTGGGAGGAGAAAGATTGAGTACACACATAACCTTTGGCGTAATGCACAAAGTGGTGGCCCCAAGACTTGAACCCGTAACCTCAAGGTTATTAGGCTAAGTCTTAACCATTGAACCAATGGTCACCCCTATATAAAAGATATGTTACTGGGGGAATTTAGGAAATAGTATAATATATCATTCCCTGCACTTACACAGACAGCAATATCCGAACCAGAAAAACCTTCTGTTCTACGAGCCAAGTTTTCAAAGTCACTTTCATTCAAGTCGTGAGGAGTATCTCCTAAATGCACCTGCAGAAATAAAACAAGTAGCAACAAATAGAATGAGATGACCGTGTTGCCCAAGCTTTTGTATTTTGTTTTCAGTAAAGGAGATAAGAGACAAGTTGATTACTTTAAACATGTGTTGCCGTGCTTTCAAATCTGGAAGAGGAATGTATATACGCTTGTCAAATCTCCGCCGAATGGCCTGTAATAATTAATTATCTATTAGCTACATCATTATGACAATCTAGATGTCACAGATGAAATAACAAAACAATCAATTTGTAATCCCCTTTACCTGATCCAGAGCATAGGGAGTATTTGTTGCTGCGAGAACGAGAACTTTGTCATCATTGTGTCCTACACCCTAAAAATATTATTTGATTATGATAAGGCACAGCATTCAGGAGAAAAAGGACCCACAAAGAAACCACGAAGAAGAAAGATCCAAAAAAAAAAAAAAAAGAAATAATTGTTACAAATGAGTTTTTAAGTGAAAGCTCATTTTTGGCACTAAAAAGGTAACCGCTAGACTAATAGAAATAAACAAGGACAGCTAAGAATTGAAGCAATGGCTTGCATCACTGCCTAGATGCAATGAGAAGAAACCAACTGTTTTCTATATTATAAGCCAAGTGTTACCAAACAATGCTAATAACCTAGCACTTTACGTTTTGTTCCAAAACATGGTACACTTTCGTTCCATTATTGTTAATTTAGTGATCCAAACATTTTTTTTTCCCTATGTATTTGCTTAAAACTTTTCTTAGGACACATGTATAAATCTACATTCTTGGTTATTTTATGTGTCTAAAAAAAATACTAGGACACAATTGGGACATGTGTCCAATACATGGCGGAAAGTGATGTCAGCGTCCAACATGGACATGCCACCTTCATAAAAGTGTTTGTGCTTCTTAGATATTATCTAGCAATGAACAAGACTTAGTTCTAAATGCTACAATGAAAATTTATGTGCTGTAACTTCTTCTCAACCTAATAAAATGAAGGATGCTTACACCTGTGATGTATCCAAAGTCTACACAAGCATTTATTCGAACGTGTTATGGCATATAAAATTATCATTTTTTTTAATATACGAGAGAGAGAGAGAGAGAGAGAGGGCACAAGAAAGAACAAAAGAAAAAGCATGTTACTAATGAGGTTAAATAGCTTGTTTTAGGCCTAACACAAGAATCATTGGATCCTAAGTTATTTTTGTTTAAACTTGTAAAGTGTTTCATGTGTATCTAAATGATGACCACATGCATCCTAATGTTGCCCAGGTCTAAAAGAACATAAAGGACACATTGGGACATGTGTCTGATACACGCCAACAAGTGTCCAACGAGTGTTGGTGTCTAACACAGACACGCCACCCTTAAAAATGTTTGTGCTTCTTAAACATTATATAGCAACGAACAAGACTTTGTTCTAAATGCTCCAATGAAAATTTAGGAGCTGTAACTTCTCAACCCAATAAAATGAATATGTTAGAAGCTAAATTTGTGGTGATATGATATCTACATATTTTAAGTTGTGAAGCTTGAATGTTGACTTCACAACTTCACACTACTGAAAAATACCTGCATCTGCACAAGAAGTTCTGTTTTGATTCGTCTGGAAGCTTCACTCTCATTGCCTTCTCCACGCTGACCACATAAGGAATCTATTTCATCGATGAATATGATAGAAGGTGCGCTTTCACGAGCCATTTGGAAAAGGTTTGAAACTAGCTTTTCACTTTCACCCATCCACTTTGAAACCAGGTCTGAAGAAGAAATACTGCACGAAAACAGCAGTTGGCACTTGCCAACTAGCTAGCCTGAGTTCATGAACATAAAAATAGAAAAAGAAACCCAGACTGCAAATGTGTGCTCACACTGTATGGCAGACAGATGGACACAGACAAATGAAACACATTTATAAAAATGATATTGCAAGTCTACCAGAAAGGCACAAATGTTTCAGCAGAGTTGAATATTAGGCCTCGTTTGGCAAGAGGCTATTTTAGCCAATTAGCCAAAAAGTTATTAAATTAGCCAAAAAGCCAACAACCCATACCAAAAAGTCAAAGATTCTCTTTTCTCTCTACTTTTTGCACATCTTTTCGTAATTAACCAAAAAGTCATCCCAAACATACAAGTTTTTTTTACCTACCATTTTAGCCAAATAGCCAAAAAGTTACTAAATTAGCCTGTTCCCAAACGAGGCCTTAGTATCATGACTATGAATTGGCAAATGAAAAGCATGGTTGGAGCATTTGTACTAAAGCAACATTTGTGTGAACACTAGTAAAGCATACAAACAATTATTGATAGACAAGGCAATATGTGTTTTCTTTTACTCCTTTTTTATTTTTTATTTTCTTTGGGTATGAATAGAAAATGACACATAAATTCTTGTGACTTGTATCTGCAATGAATTAGTTGTAAACAATCATGAATTGATTAAATGGTCTCAAATTCCCTTTACTGAGGAGCACAGAAACAAAGTGTCAATCAAAATATTTTTAAAATAAATCTGAACTACCAAGACATTAAGCATTGCTCTACTGTACTGGAAGCATATTCCTTGACTCAACCAAACCGAAATCACCTCCCACCCCCATTTAAAAACATAAAAGAGGGTTCAAATCAAGGAGAAAAAGTGGTATAGTACAGCCAACAATGTCAGTTGCAGCTATTTGGCACTTGAAGGTCCATTCTCTAGGCTGATCTCGTGTCACACAGACTAACCCAACCAAACTTGCAGTCCTACCACATACGAATAGATCTGACAATCTACAACCTCTTCATCAAACAAGGAAGCTCCAAGTTTTTTTAGACTTTCTGTATTATCTTCTTTCAAGGTCAAAAGAATTTAATAAAATAAATAAATCCTCTCCAACAAGATACTTGCTGAGTCTGCATCAGCCTTGGTGACGTTATCAGGATTGCTTCTTATGCAATTATAAAGAGGAAAAAAGACCACATTTTCTAGCTGCCCACAGCCAATTTAGAATAATAATTATAAAAAAAAATATAAAAAATTAAAAATTATAAAAAAAACCTCAAAAGTTTGGGTTTTTTTTTATTTTTATTTTTTGGAGTTTGAATAAAGCTAAAAATGTGGCTATGAAATAACAGTTTATGTTAAGTTGAAGGAAATACAGAAACATGACAAGAAACCCAAATGTGAAAAGAGACAGAACCCAGCAAAAAGGAGAGAAAGAGAAGGTTAAAACATTAAATCACATACAATCAAGAAGGCTAATAATTGTCTTTAAAAAGGATTCCAAGGCTAAAATGCACACTTGGCTATAAATTCAGCCTCCTCATAGCTGGACCTGGAAATCCATCAGTATTCCATGAGTAAAGTGAAGACCAATCAAGAACTTTCTGCACCTCAAGTGATGCCAAGCCCAATAAAGGGAAAAGCTCAAAGGAGGATAAAAAGTACAACTCAAAGGAGGCCCATTCAAAATTAAGTACCTCAAAGCTTTTCGTGTACACTTCTCATCAAGGTATCTCTTGTGTTCCTGAGAAAAACCTTTTAACTCAGCTCCTCAAATTGAGTCAGTTAACAACTGCAGAAGAATCTCCTCCTACAACACAGTGACCAAGTAACAAAGTGGCAGTATTCTGACGCCTCACAAAGGCAGCAAATATCTCCACTTTATAGCAAAGCCTTACACCAACTAACTTGGAAAGACCTAAAGTTGCCTCATTGATCCTTAAAGGTTTCTTCAATGCCAACTTGTCCTAGATTACCTATAAATAGACAAGCATCAAAACTGAAAGGAGCTTTACTGAGGTGGGTACTGGGTACCATGAACCAAGTGCAAGGAAGCCCTAAGAAACTGTCTTGTGGAAAGCAATTGACTCCAACAACCAAAACTAACCCCAATGAGAGACTTTCAAAATCTTGACATAAGGCAAAAGAGAAACCAGAAAATGGACTTCATGCTTTTCTTCAAAAATTTAAGCACTTTCTTTTCTTCTTCTTTTTTTTTTAATATATATATATATTTTTTTGGGATAAAAAAACAAATAACATCAAAGAATGCACAAAAATTGGCAAAGGCAAAGGAGGAAAAGGTAAAAACGAAGAGAGGGTTAAAAATAAAAAGAATCAGTTTGTTGATACCATGGGGCTACCAAACTATTGTCTGCTATGGAAATTTATCATCAATTCAATACTAGCTAAAATGTATAAATACATAAAAGAAAACCAACTCCACTACAGATGGGAGCTGTGTACTTTTTGGTGGCCAGAGACTAAAAGGACAAACAGAATGCAATTTCTCAGAGTAGTGATAAATAAACCATTGAAGCTACTAAGAAAGTGCAAGTAAATAAGGGAACCTTGCAAGTAAGAAACATTTAAAAGAAAGCCAGTGGAAAAAATTTCAGACCTCCAAAGGAGGAAGAAGATGTGAGGTAAATGAAGAGAATAGACATTTAAAAGCTAGCTGCAACTGTTGCATCAAGACTATAAAAAAGTAAGACAAAAAGAGAGGAGGTTTTCTAGAAGCAAGCCTAACTGTGAAGGCTGCATCAAGATGCCATTAAAAATAAAAAATAAAAGTGGAAATTTACTGCAGACAAGCCAAAAGTTGAGTTTTTGATGACGACGGATAGCTTACCTGAAAAAGGTAGAGTCTGCTTCAGTTGCAACAGCCTTGGCTAGGTATGACTTCCCTGTTCCAGGTGGACCATACAAAAGAAAAGCCCTCCATGGCCTCCTCTTTCCTGAAAGGGACCACACAAACAAGTAATATTGTAAGATTGAATCACATAAAACAATGAAACCATGGTTTCAACATTATCACAGAATTAAACAAATATAGAACGGCACCAATAGAATAAGCATATAATTTTCCTAGTCCCCTCTCCACATCAATCCAACAGGTCCAACACAGCGGTAATGATGCTCCATATAAACAAGGAAAGCATATTTTACGTAAGTGTATACATGATGCTTCAGAGCAGTACTTTCAAAGGCATTCCAAAAATCAGCCTTTTCACTATCTTGTACAATAAAGAATTAACCGGCCATCATGATGCCACCTTCAGGCCTATTTCCGTCCATATAGCAGCTTCATTCACCTCCTTTCACAGTTAGAGATTCACCTTAAGACACCATTTTTGAACCTCTGTTATACTGACTTGTTAAGAGCCCATAGATCTTAAAAGTGAAACAATAAGGCAAGGTGTTAAAGCCCCTGTGGGGTGGAGGAGTAAATCCCAAAGGGTTGGCAAGTAGGATTTTTTAGTTTTAAAAAAAAAAAAAAAAATTAAAAATTAGAAAGTTCATGACATTTACCTAATGAGTAATGGAAGCCAAGCGTTTAAGGTAATAGCAGAAGACAAAGTGGTTTTCTCCTTGCAATATGAGGCAAGAGAATCAAGAGAGAAGTGTGGATACAGAGTATACTAATACCAGACAAAAATAGAGAAATGGCAAGGCTGTCCTGGCTTGAAGGTAGAATAGGACAACCAAAGAAGACAATAGAGAAAGGTATGACAAATTCATACATTATGCCACGGGATAAATTCAAGTTGAAGACTTAAGAGTACTGAACCCTTGACATGGCCGTCTGACCTTTAAAAAGGAGATGTCGCGTCATGTGAGTGAGGGTCTAAACAAAACGCAATTGTTTGCGAGCCCAAAGCCAACAACAAAATCTAAGGAGAATGAATTAACAAATGCCACTAGGTTTGCAACCTAAAAAAATGTAAAAACCACAATGCCACACAAAAATCCATATCTGCCATGGCTATCCTAAAACAACCATGTGATCGCCTTGTATTATTAAGATAATAAGGTAAGTGTTTGTTTCACTGGAATGAAACAGAATAGAATGATCATTCCATCAAAATATTTATTACCAAAAGAACAATGATAAAATGCATTACAAATGGAATCATCATTCATCATTTCAAGAAAATGGTCATTCCATATAAGAGCCTAAGGAATGATCATACCATTCCACTCCATTACATTCCAACTTATTCCAGTGAATCAAATAGAGCGTTAGTCTTAACATATAGAGATAAGAATATACATGTGTGTGTATTATGAATGTACTTTGTGGGCTTGTTTGATTGGGCGAACTACAGCATAAGATTATGATTATTAATATATGGAACTCACATTCCATTGTTTAGTTACAAATATTAGTATTCCGATTAGATTCAAATGGCTATTCTATCCAAATAAAATTGATAGATTTTTTAATCTTACAATTAATATCCCAAAACATACATATAATTGGTATTATATATTTCTATATCTATTTCAAAACAAACATGGACAAAAGGGATCCATATTTCTATTTCTTTTGTGATTATATATATGGCTATTTCTATAGCTATTCTATATTTCTATATCTATATCTATTCCCCTCTGTCCTCATACAAGACCTACAAGTTTAGAACACACTCTCATGTAGCTGAAAAATGAACTTATTTCCAATCAGAGGCTATAATTTATCTTTTTCATACTTCAGTTGGATGAGCTAACCCCAAATTACCGACTCTTAATCAATGAATTCAAAAGAGGAGAAAGATATAATCACAAAACCAATCAAATTACATACAGATTAAACACATAGCAATCAACTTAACAAGTTAAAAAGAATGCATAACACAGTTCCTATCAATTTCATATATCCCAAAAACCAAAATTAAAAATTAAAAGCACTAACCAACAAAGAACTGCGGGAATTTAACCGGCAATATAACAGCCTCCTGCAACGCCTGCTTGGCGCTCTCAAGCCCCGCCACATCATTCCACTTCACATTCGGCTTCTCCCTAATAATCGCCGAGTTAAGCCCTGCCCTCAGCTTCGACTGCTCCTCTCCATCCCCACCACCTTCTCCCCCATCTTTGGGCTTCGTCTTCGGCCGCGTTGCCACCGCAGCATCACCGTTGGCCGCCGGCCCAGCCGCGCCACCCTCGTCGAGCACGGCCCTGATCTCCTCAGCACGTCGCAAGTACTCGGTGAATTTCTGGGTAATAGCCTCCTTGATTTTAGGGTTCTTCTCGTACTTCAAATGGGTCTTGAAGTACTCCAAAGCGTTCATATATAAAGGAAAGGCCTTGGCGTAGTTTCCAGCATTGTCCTCTTGCACCGCTTGCTTCACGTACTCGATCGCTTGCTCTTTGAAATTACTGTACATCTTCGCACATATATATACGTGTGTAAATATGAAAATCAAATAACAATTAACGAAAACGAACTAACCCTAGAAAGTAAGGCGGGGTTTTGATGAATTGCGAACCCTAACTGGAAATTGAGGTTCGGGGGGAGATGGATTGATGATGATGATGATGATCGGAGATGGAGGAGAGGGAAGTCATCGATGACGATGAGGGTTTCATCGATTTGATTTGATGAATGTTTGATTTTGGGGATGGAATTGTTGAATTTGATTGGGAGTTTGTTTGTTTGATGGAATGGGTATACGCGTGTGGAATACTATTGTCGCTGTTGTGTGAAGTATGAAATTACGAAGAAAGGGCGGACACAAACTTAAATCAGAAGGGAGTGCACAACGCGCACCCTCGTGTGAGAGGATACTTTCCTTTTATCTGGTGCAAATTGCCACACTTTCCATCCATGTGCTATCTATGACCAATATTTAGGTTGGGTTCGATAATTATTAATTTTTTAAAAATAAAAAAATAAAAATAAATGCCGTTGGAATTGTTAAAAAGTACCATTTTTTTTTAATAAAAATTTTTTATTTTTATTTATTTTTTCTGTAAAGTATTGTGGAGTTTTTATGGGAATGTATGGTGGAATTTCTGAAAAATATTAAAGGTAAAATCAAATTTCACTAATTTGCTAACAAAATTTTTTGCTTAAAAACATTTTTTTGAAAATTTTGCTTTCTTATTTTTTTGTTTTTACTATTTTTTTTAATATTTTATGTAATTTTTTTAATTCTTAGACACACCTAATATAAATACACATAAAAAGTATAATTTTTGTAAAAAAAATCTTTTAAAAATTCACTAAAGACCAAATATATATATATAAAAAATACTAGAATTCAGTATATTTTTCATATTTTTATGTATTTATTAATTTTTTAAAATATTTTTTTACAAATTTCTTATTGTTTAGATACATCTAAGTATGTGCATCTAAAAGAGTAAAGCAAATGCTTAAAATTTTAAAAATATTCACTAAAAACAAAAAACAAAAAATTTAATTTTCAAAAAACTTAGGGGTGTTTGGTTTGCTTTTGAGAGAGTGATTTTCAAAAAAAAAAAATAGGAACAGAGTTTAGAAATTTTTTTGGTTTGTTTGGTTGTATATTTTGAAAGTAGTTTTGGAATGATTTGAAATTTTGTTGTAATTGAGTAGATGTGTGTGAGAGAAAAAGTTATTAAAAATGAGAGAAAAGAGAGAAAAAGTGATTGATTGATGTGTAAGAGAAAGAAAGTGATTTTGAAAATTTTTTGAGAAAAATCACAAACCAAACAAAAATTTGGAGATTTTTTTCAAAAAACAACTCTTCCAAAAGCAAACCAAACAAGCCCTTAATCCAAAAAAATCAAACCAAACACATACATTATTTTTATGAAAAATCCACGTCAAACATGCTTATTTGTTTTTAAATAATTTTTAGTAAAAAAAATTAGGATACTTGATCCATAAATTTAATTTTGAATTTTCTTTATACAAAGGTCCACACTCTAAAATATTTTATCCATAAAGACAATCTCATCCAAAATAATTAAACTATTCATGTATATATATATATATAACAAACCATTCTTTCACTCTCTTTATCGTTTTTCACTTTACCTCCTCCGTCTCCACAGTCAGAGATCTGCCTCCACCGCTGACAATCTCTCTCATCTGCCTCCACCACCACCTCCACCATCTGCGGTCTCACCACCGTCCTCTTATTGTAGTTGAAGCAGCAACGCCGTCGAGCCTCTCAGCTCTCAGATCCTTTCATTTCCTCTCATCTCCACTGTCACGACCCAACCCTGGTACCCAAAGCTTAGATATTGCGACAAGTTAATAAATGAGGTCATCAAAGGCCAATTCAAAAATTTTAACAAATTAATAACACAGTGGAATAAATAAAGGGTACCCAAATATTTATTTTATTTTAAACATACATTGAAGCTTTTATTTATTTATATTGCTAGAGTTAGACTAAGTCCTCGTTTGGAAACAGACTATTTTAGTAACTTTCTAACTTTTTGGCTAAAATATGAGGTAAAAAAAATTAGTATGTTTGGAATGACTTTCTAATTTTTTATGAAAATATGTGCAAAAAGTAAAGAGAAAAGAGAATATTTGACCTTTTTTTTTTTGTATAAGTTATAGGTTTTTTAATTTTTGTAGTAACTTTTTAGCTTTTAGGCCAAAACAAACACATGCCAAGCGAGACCTTAGTTTAGAAAGTGCCTTGTGCCTATTCCATACTCTAGTCCTGCTATTTCCAACTTATGAATAAGGGGTTAAAACCTCTCTCTAAACTTCATCACCTGAAAGTGTTAGCAGCTATAAGTATATGGTAGCGTAAGAAATATTATACTGAAAATATAAGGGTATAAAAGTCACAATGGATAATTTTTTTAGGTTAGATAGTTTGGTTCGAATAAATAAATTATTTTAAATGACAGAATCATAATGCAGAAATCATATAAGTAAAATAATTATAATCACGGTATAGAACAGAACAGATGGTCAATGGATATAGATATATAGATTTAAGATGTAGCTCGTACGGACTCTAGAGATGGCTTGGACGGACTCTAGAGATGGCTCCCACACTAGTGTAACATTAAGCTCCACACAACACTTTGCTCCACACTAGAGGGTCACCAAAGCGACAATCAAAGGGTTACTAAAATGACAAATCAGAGAGCCAATAGTTATTTAAGTCCTTCAAGGTATGAGACCATTGAAGGGTTATTAAAGTGACAATTCAAAGGGCCAATAATTATTTAAGTCCCCAAGGCATGGGACTTTTGTGGTAGTACTTACAAAATACATAATCAAATACCAAATCAAAATCAGATTTAATAAACAGTTTATATCCATGGATTTTCCTTTTTAAGAAAATAAGGTTCGTAAAATAAATGACATAATTGAAATATTAATATAATTTTATAAGGCATGATTTGAATAAAATAATTCATAAAATAATAAAATAATTCGTAATTACTCAAGATATAATATAACTCACCTTAATATCGATTGTCAATTTTTACTTTTTCATTCCTTACTCTGCTAATGCCCTCTTTACTTTTTTTGCTCATGTTCAAATGGTTAGCACTATTCTTCTATTTATATTGGGGGTAGGCGCAGGTTGGTTGCGGCCACGGAACCTCCAATTCGCCATCTGTTTGCTAAATTGGTGGATTAGAGAAAATCAATCCGCGTCCATCCGCCAATCCGGCGAAAGTGGATTGAGCGGATTGGCGGATGAATGCAAATCGGTTTGGCAATTTAAAATTTTATAAATTTTCAACATAATTCAACTTGTACAAAAAAAAATAAAAAATAAATAAATAAATAAATAAATAAATATTACAGTCAATTACTTAAAAAAGTATTATAATCACTGCATGCCTCATTCAAAGAAAGAAAGTTTGAAATTTTAGAATATTACAATCACTGCATGCTTCATCCACATATTACAATCACAGCATGTCTCATCCACATAAAATGTTACATAAAGTATTATAATCTGTAATTCTTAAAATATAAAAATAATTCAAACCACCAAAACCATGAATAGAGTAGTAATAGTGATTGTATGCTTCTGTATTGTTACATCTATATCTATTTTTGAAAACAAAAACCAACCAGCACATATTATCTTTTTTATTATTTTTAGAGTTAGATTTAAAAACTACAAAATATAGATAAATAATACATTTATTTTTTTTCAATTCAAAAAATATATTCAAGTTGAAAACTCTTTTTCAACAGAATATTTAAACTCTTTTTTAATTTAAAACACAAATAGAAAAAAATTAAAAACATAAAATCTTACAAATTACTAGGGTGTTTGTGGTTTGGCGGTTCAATTGCAATCAAAGGAATTTCAAATCCGCCATCTATTCAAAACTAGGTAAGTTAAAAAAAATTAATCTATAACCGTACACTGATCATTACTGATCCGTCCAAAATACAGCTAATTGGATCGGACCGGTTCGATTCGATTTGAGCGGTTTGAGCAAATCAATACCAGGGAGATACACGTTGCAACCATAACAATCTGCCACCTTTTGGGCTCCTAGATTTCTTTTTTCCTAGAAGCTTATCCCCAAGCAAGCAAATTAACTTTAGGTTTAATGTCTATTTACACCTTGGCCCATACACCAAAGTAATAACATTATCACTTCTTTCTTCTTTTTTTCTTTTCTTTTTTTTATAGTAATACACAATGATTCCTAGTATAAAATTAAATTACATTTTAGCACATACAATTATAAAATTAAATATATTACTATTATTTTATTTTATTATTATGTTTAATTTGATATTAACGCGGTGTTAAAATTAATTAAACATTTGGAGTGTCACATTTCTCTCATTCTAAATAGAAATTTGTCCCCAAACTTGTCGTATCTTGATTTTCGAAAAGATATGGATATCGAACTCACATTTGATTCTCAGTTTCCCACATAGTTTCTTTGACACGATGATTTCGCCATAAGACTTGTACAAGAGGTATAGTCTTATTCTAGAGAATCTGATTACGATAGTTGAGAATCTGTATCGATTGCTCTTTATAAGAGAGATCTTTTTCAACTTCCAGGTTTTTGTTATCAATAACGTGTTCTGAATCTCGAAGATATCGTCGGAGCATTGAAACATGAAACATATTGTAAACATTAGACAATTCTGGTGGTAGTGCAAGACAGCCACAAGGCCAATTCTTTCTAATATCTCAATGGTCCGACGTAACACGGGTTCAATTTTCCTCGTTTTCCAAACCAAATGACTTCTTTTGTTGGTGAAACTTTCAAGAAAATATGATCTCCTACTTAAAATTCCAAAAGACCTGGATATGGTCTAGTATCCGCATAACGATATCCTGGTGGTAACTCTAAAGATTGGAGAGTGCCATGTGAGGCGCATACTGATTGACCAAGGCAGTTCTTGTGACATCATGCATGTCAGATGTTACAAGGAGCTTGGCCTTCACCCAGATGATCTAAAGTAGTTTGACAGCCCCATGGTCGTATTCAACAGGATGCCAACATGGCCTCTAGGAGCCATGAACTTTGAAGTGTAAGTAGGAAGCAAAATGGTAACAACTGAATTCACTGTGATAAACAATCCCTTCCCGTATAATATAATTTTTGGACGACCTTAGTTGCATGCAATAAGGGTTGTTCCCTCCACGTTGCACCAACTGTAGCAATTCCCAACTGATCAGGGGATTGAAAAAGTGAAGGGGGGCCAAGTACAAGCGAAGAATTTCTCCGCGGCAGCAATAAAGTACACTTGTAATGTAAGGGAGGTAGAAAGTGTAGAAATTGAAAGCGAAGACCATGAGGTCTTGGATGATGTCGGCAAAGAACCTACCGA